CATGTTAAATATGAGTTTTATTTAAAAGGTAGTTACGTTCAAGCTGATTGTAATTCATTCAAAATTTAGTCCTTTTTAGTTACAGTCTACTCAATATTTGATTGTGTATTTTAATATATGAAAATTTGTAACTAAATAAAGGAAAAGGGAGCATTGTCTGCCTCTGTAAATTTAAAGAATGTGTTCAATAATGGATATTGTGTAAAAATCATATTGATGATGCTTAAGAAGAAAATATGTACAAATAGTAACATCACTCAATCAAGTGATAGATAAACTTAGCCCTTCATTTTTTCCTTTTGCTTGACTATTTATAGAAATAATCCTATCTTGTTAAATCTAAAATGTGCATTATTCTCTTCTCTGATATTCCAGCATTGGGTGAATTTTGATATTCGTATTGATATTGACTCAACATTGACCTTTGTTTCTAAATTCTAAAAACAAAGTAGGTTCTAAAGTATAATGATAATCATTAATAATTTAAAGAATGCCCAATTCCAAAACAGAGTCCAGAGTGCTATAGAAAATAATAAGCACACATTAAACTAACTGGGCTCTGTGCCTAGAAACTGAGCCAAGTGCACATAATAGGCAAGAAAATATCTAAGTATATGTGTGAGAAGAAACAAGAAAAGCAAAACAATTCATAAAAGATTTCCAAAGAGAATATCTACAGATTTCTAAACTTCCCTTGGAAACAAAAATATTTTGTACTCATTTCCCCTGGTTTAGTAGCTGCCTTATATTGTCTCATCAATGTGAACATCTATAGAAGAGGTTGAAACATGTTGAATATACTGTAAAATTTCAAAACCATGGAGTAAGTTTTAGGTTTTTCAAACTACCCCATGATAAAATCAAAGGCTACAATACATTATAAGTTTATAGGGCTTTTCTCTGGTTGGTATAACTTAAGACAACCATTTTTACCTCACAATTTATTAAAATTATAATGTTTAACCGTGGATGCACAATTATGACAAGGGAGACAATGAGACTCAGCTGTGTGTTTTCCTATAAAGCAGCACCTGGACTTTTATAGGTCAGGCATCTCCTCACAAATTAAAGCAGAAAAAATGTTCCTGTAAAGCAACTTATTGAGGGAGCTTATCAAAGTGTTCCCAGAGGCTTCATTTAGAGTGGATTTCACAGATGGTAGACCCGAAGAGCAATAAAAATAATCAGTCTGTATGTTTGTATCTATGCATACATATTTCTCTGTCTACTCTCCTCCATAAAGGGACAAGTTTTCTTCAAAGTCCTGAGATTTGGATAATAAGAGCTGATATTAACATTTATTATTATTATTATTATCTCCTATATATTATAAACAATTATTACCATCTAATAAGTTGTTGTTCAGATTATAATGTATTTACATCATTGTCCCATTCACTTTTCTTCCTCTAACACCTCACAGATACTCCCCTAGATCTCTCTCAACTTTACCTCCTTCTTTTCATATATATTCCTAAATATATAATTAAAACATGCTCAATCTGTATAAGCTCTCTCTCCCTCTCTCTCTCCCTCTCTCTCTCTCTCCCTCTCTCTCTCCCTCTCCTTCTCTCTCTCTCTCTCTCTCTCTCTCACACACACATACACGTTTTCAGTGCTTGCAAGTTTCAACTGACACATCTATGACACAGATCCTACACATAAGGCACAGGGATCATTGCAGAAGTAGGGGAAAAAAGAATATAAAAGACAGAGCAACAAGATGTTTATTTTTTTAAAAAAATCATCTCCTAGAATGTCAGAGCAGTTATACCCATGAAGTCTCACAATCATAGCTATCCAACCATGACATGAACAAGGAAGACACCATGCTAATTAGATGGGAAAAAGCTAAGGAGGCCTGTATACTAGATTAATAACTACATAAAACTAAGCAATGCTGAGAGTAAGAGAAATAGTGTCCCCCAGGAAAGAACATAATTAGTTACCCAATACCACGTGCTAATTTTAAAACACTACTTAGATAGACAAAACCCATGCTAAATTAGCAAGAGGGTAACCAGGGACAGCCAAAGGAGAGCATGAATATATGGGAAAAATAATTAGGAATACAATTCACTACAATGCACTCCCTCAATTAAGCCTAATCAATCTAAATACCTTTTGATAGATCATAAAATTATTACATATTCTGTCCCTGAATTTTTAACCAAGGGCATGGACAGAATAAATGTTAGGAGGAACCAGCTAAATACTTAATCATGAAAACTTAACTTCCACTGCTTAGAGTGGTAATATATGGTAAACCAAGACACAGATACCATTAAATTCAACACTGATTTCCACCAGTTTACATAATTAGAAAAAATTATACAGAAAAACAAAGACACCAGACACTGTGGTATTTATCATTTATCAATATATCTATCAATACAACTATCATGGCCACAAACAAGATATTATTTTTATACAATGTAAAGAAGACAGATTTCAGTGCCACTTTGTCTTACAATATAGTCAAAAATATTTAGATATCCAGTTCTGGAAACTTTTGAAAGTAAGGTTCTCAACTCAGCTCAACATAACTTTTTTCTATATCTATGTTGTCCCAAAGTTGATATGCAGAGAGACTTTAATTTTCTTGCTAGTAAGATGGAACAGCCATCCGGGAAATGCAAATCAAAACAACTCTCAGATACCATCTCACCCCTGTCAGAATGGCTAAAATCAAAAACACCAATGACAATTTATGCTGGAGAGGATGTGGTGAAAGGGGGACACTCCTCCATTGCTGGTGGGAGTGCCAACTGGTTCAGCCACTTTGGAAATCAGTGTGGAGATTCCTCAGAAAAATGGGAATAAACCTACCACAATACCCAGCAACTCCACTCTTAGGCATATATCCAAAAGATGCCCATTCATACAACAAAGATGTCTGTTCCACTATGTTCATAGCAGCTTTATTTGTAATTGCCAGAACGTGGAAGCAACCTAGGTGTTCCTCACCTGAAGAGTGGATAGAGAAAATGTGGTACATCTACACAATGGAGTACTATTCAGCAGAAAAAAATAATGGAATCATGAGATTCGCAGGCAAATGGATGACACTAGAAGAAACCATCCTGAGTGAGGTAACCCAGTCACAAAAAGAGAAACATGGCATGTACTCTCTCATATATGGATTTTAGACATAGATCTGGGGAGTGCCAGCCTACAATCCTATGGCCAGAGAGTCTGGGAAACAGAAATTTTATTTAGTGGCTGATCGAAGAAGAGGCAGACTCCCTTGGTTAAGTACTGAGCTGAACTCAAGAAAGCCAGTAACAGAGAGGGAGGACTGATGATCAAAGGGATTAAGACTGGGCTGGTTTAACCCCCAGAAACAGCTGACCAGACAAAGGTTAACTCTTGAATCCCAGGCATTAGCCTGGGAAGCCAGCATGGGACTGATCAAGACCCCCTGAATCTGGGTGTCAGTGAAGAGGCCTAGGGAATCTACTGAGCCTTGGGCAGCAGATCAGTACCCATCCCAAGTATACACACGGACTTTGGACTCCCATAGAACAATGTGAGGTGCACTCTCACCCTGAACTCTTGGGGAAGGGTCTAGGCCCTGCCCTATATGAAATGACACACTATGCACACCCCCATGGAGGGCCTCACCCTCCCTGGAGAAATGAGGGGATAACGGGGGGGGAGGGCACGGGAGGAAGGGAGGGAATGGGAGATGGACCTGGAACTGACTTGTGAAGCAACCTTGTTTCATATCTAGATTTAAACTGGAAAATAAAATTAAAAAAAAAAGATGGAACAGACACCACTGAAAAATTTACCTCCTACTCAAATTCAAGGAACTAATCTACCATAAAATTATTGCTTAACAGTGCATTTCTGTGGACAGTTTTCAACAAGTATAGCAGTATCAGATCAATTGCCAAAGAAAGTTATAGTTATGAAGTTAATTTTATTTGTGTACATATTACTAGATAGTAAATGTTTGCTGCTTCTTAAGATACATAGTTTAGTCATTCAAGGTTGACATTCTTTGTCAGCAAGTTAATATGATATAAATAGGTTAAAAATAATTGAGTCATGAAAATTTAGGTTTTGAACTATTTTGGTGTCTTATAAGATGTACTTGATATTTTTCATGAAAGTTTCCATAGCCATGTTTAATATTACACAAGTAGAATAAAAATTTGGGGGTTCCTGGACTACTATTATAAACTGCAAAAGAAGATTTACATATGACATTCATTTGAAATGTTATGCTACCTACTATGTAAAATATCTAAAAACCATATATTCTTCCAGGAATACATGTACCACTTTCCTCTATTTGCCCATCTCTGTCCATAAGCACACTTTCTTGTCCAACCATTCAATCATTTAGCAAGACTGAGTGAGTAGGAATTGTGTCCTGAGGATTCAGGAAGAATAAATTTCTAAATTTATCAACTCTATTGTAGGAACCTTTAAACAAAACAACAAAAAAACCTTCATTTCAGCAGAGTGTTTAATGATTTATCACTGACAATAGAAGTCACTCAGAAAAAGTACCAGAAGATAATGAAATTGAATCTTGCTGTTTACTATGTTTAACCTGATATTAATAGCTGATGTAAGCTGGGCATTGGTGGCGCACGCCTTTAATCCCAGCACTCGGGAGACAGAGGCAGGCGGATCTCTGTGAGTTCGAGGCCAGCCTGGTCTACAAAGTGAGTTCCAGGACAGCCTCCAAAGCTACAGAGAAACCCTGTCTCGAAAAAAAAAAACCCAAAATAGCTGATGTATGCTTAGATCACCTATTATGTAACATTTTTCATCAGATGTTGATGGGTGTGGTGATAACAAAACTGGTGTTTTGGTATTCTGGTCGTATGTGTAGAAAAATGCAATTTCTTAAGTTTAAGGTTTTCTTTCCTATAGCATTTCTTTTAAGAAAATAATAATAACCCTTGCTTTCCAAACCTCTTGCATCAAGAAACATTTTCTATTTGGTTTAGTAATAACCAAAAAAATTTTTTTGAAAAACGTACATTAAGAAATACTCCTCTTGATTCAGACTCAAGACTGCAGCAAACCGTAGCACCTGTGGGACATCTGGATGTTCCAAGGAATAGAGTATGAACCTACAGAATGAAACATTATCTCTGAAACAACTTTAAAAGGCATGTTTTATGAGGGGATTCTTTTTTTAAAAGTTTTCGTGAAATTGGAAGTGAAAAATGACAGACTGGAACAGCAGAAAGTAGCAGAACTAGAGACGCAGCAGGGCAGCAGGTATGTGAGCATGGCCATGGCAGATCATTGTATCATACACTTGCTTTGTAGGGCCAGTTCTTGAGCCAAATGGTGGGTCCGTGCACTACTGTCTCTCCTTACAACATTCCTAGCTGCTAGGCCAGTCCTGCCACACCCTGCTTGGGAAAGGAGAGCACATGGTCAGGGCTGATACTCTGTCCTCAGCAAAATGACCCTGCACTGGATGCTGGTGGGTCAACCAAACCAGGGCAGGATGGTATGCATCACAGTAGAGCATGCTCAGGTTCTGTTCAGGATGTGCTGCCTAGCTGTATGTTCACACTGACTCTGGGCAACAGCAAGACATCCAGGTTGACTTTGAGTGATATTCCAATATTTGTGGTGCTTCAGAAATGTTGAGCCAGATCAATGACTTATTGTAATAAGTATTTTCATGTGAAGCTGTTTGAGAAAATTAGCATACTGTGTGGCACACAGCAGACTGTAATGTCACTTTAATAAATGAATATGTGATGAAGAGATAGGAAAGCAGCATAGAGACTTAGCAGTGGCAGGCATGGAGCTGCTGCTGCCAATTCTGCTTGCCTTGCTTGTGGGAGAAGGCATTGTTTGCTGTGTTGCCTGTGTGCTGCAAATATTATTGCATTTGCAAGGAAACTTGCACTGAGGACAGGGTAGTGTGTAACATTCTGGAGCTCAACAGGGTCCTGCCTCAGAACATACTGCCCAACTACATGATCGCCCTTACTCTGAGCAGCAATAAGCTGCCTGAGATGAAGAATGGTTCATTTTCTGGATTAAACCTCCTTGAAAGATTTCCTTGGTCTGTTCTGCAACCTCAGGTCTGAGCTGATGCCAGAGACCATGTTGATGTCTGTGATCTGGTCTCTTGCTGGAAGCCATGTTGAGGTTCCTGTTGAGATCCCTGCTGCTGTCAGAGGCTGTCGTGTGGACCATATTGATAACCATGTTGATGGCCATGGTCTATGCTGCTGCCTTAGGCCATGTAGATATTGGTGATCTGTGCTTCCCTAGCAATCATGTTGGTGTCTGAGATACTTGCTGTTGCTGGGCACTAGGTTGATGTCACTAATCTAGTTGTTACCTACTGCCATGGGCAAGGATTCTTCTTCTGCAGAGATATTGATGATTGCAGACTCATAACTGAGAACATTGAAGGTGTGTGTGACATTGCCTTCCCTCTAAAACAAACAGTTCAGACAGAAAGGTATTGAAGAGAGTCCTTAAAAATTGTTATAAACATGCTGAAGTGTAGCTTTTCATAGTTGATGATTTTGGCTAGGGGTGGGGTGGGGTGGAGTAGGGAAGGATTCAGTTTTCTTTAAGGGACTAACCACTGTTAGCTTGGCCATGCTAGAATGAGTATATGGCCAACACAGATTGGAGTTGGTGGGTTTTGTTTATTTATTTGTTTCATTTTGGGTTTTAGTTTTAGGGAAGCAGAATGCAAGGGTGGGAAGGTGGACCAGGGAGGAATAGGAAGTGAATGTGATCAGGATCAGAAGGCATTGTATGAAATTCTCAAATGACTAATAATGATACTGACTTGGGGAAAATAAACAGTACTTTCCCTCGTTCCAGGGAGAGTGTGTCTGTCTCTCTCTGTTGCTCTCTTTCTATCTATCTTGGTCTGTGTGTGTGTGTGTGTGTGTGTGTGTGTGTGTGTGTGTGTGTGTGTGTGTGTGTGCAAGCTCCTGATACTCCGAACCCCACCACTGACCTTACCTGTGATATGGACATTTGCAGATGTAGTAGGAAAGGATCTAAGGCATGCTCTTTCTGGTACAGAAGGAATTCCAAGCTCAATTATAAGTGTCCTCATGAAAAATAACAGGGAGGGAAGAAAAGAGGGTACCTAAAGTCAGAGTAGTGTTTATACATAAATAAAGCAAGACATACATTACAACTTTTCACAAACACAGTCCGAATTCAAAACACTGAGCTATATGTTTAGCTTACTATGTATCAAGCTTTGATAAATAAAAAAATTATTATCAAATGTATGAGTCTTTTCAAGAGTCTCTTTTACTCCTCCAAGATTTGCTTAGAGCCTATGTCCTTGCAACTTCACTCTAGATCACTACAGCAAGTTGATGTGCTTGGGGACCTGTGATCTGAAACACTTCTGTCTGTCTATGTCTTTCTTTGTCTCTGTCTCTCTCTCTGTCACACACCCACACCCCCAAACAAACACACACACATGTCCACTCACACATAAGTCTAGAAATGTAGAACTATAGCACCTGATTATTTTACAAGCATTGATTTTTTTTGTCTGTATATATATCTTTGTGAGGGTATAAGATCCACGGGAACTACATTTACAGGCAGTTGTGCGCTGCCATGTGGATGCTGGGAATTGAACCTGTGTCCTCTGGAAGAGCAGTCAGTACTCTTTATCACTGAGCCTTCTCTCCATCCTCTCTGAATTCTTGAAGTAAATATGGCAACATGGAGTTGAGCTAGTTTCATAGTCAGTCCTGGTCTTAGCAAGGACATCTTCTCTTTTAAAGTACAGTTATTAATTAAAAGTCATTAATAACTGGCCATCTTCTTTCGAAGGGCACATGCATTATATACTATATAGAAATGATTGATTGTTTACTTAATATACACCCATGCTTCAAAGGCTGGTAGAAAATGTTTACAACCCATTTATGGGAGTTGGTATGAATGGATTTCCAACGTAGCAACTAGAAGATTGTTATTTTGTTTTCAATTTTACTTCCCTGTGTGTATGTGTGGTTTTGTACCTCTTCCTGTTCTCTCCCTTTTTGTGTCTATCCTAAGATATTAGCATCAGAAACACCACAGAGTCGTGAACAGTCCTCAATCTAACCTATTGCTGTTTCTAAGGTTCCTTTGTCCTCTTCTTCCTCCTTTGTCTTCTGCTTACCTATTTTCAATAGACCACACAGTTCTGATACAAATCATTTTTCTTAAGGATAAAATCAATTCTAATCCTATTTTTATGCAAGACAGAAAAAAGGAAAACATTTTGTCATGAAAACTTACCACATGCAGAGTGAACAACAACAAAAAGAATTCAAGTAAGATAATGCTGCAATCCTTTTTTTTTCATCCCTTGCAGCATTTTTCTCTGACAATATTTTTTGTTCCTAAATTCAGCGTCCTATAGCAAGCATTGCCAGCAATACAGAACACTTTCAATTAATAGTTCCCTACTTCTCTGGTCGCTAAGCAACTGACCTATGGTGAGGAATGCATAATAACACCTAGACATCTTGTAGTGGTAGGAAGTATAGACTTCACTGGTTTTATTTGCTGCTCTCTATTTGTCCTACAACAAACAGTTAAGTAAATGGTAGTGTTTGATATTAGTTTTTTAGTAAATTGAAAGGATAGAATTATCTCTAGAAAAAGGAGGCACAGATGACACCAAATGCCTTTTTTTTACAACTCTTTTGTGTGATTCTGTTTCTATAAAGGCCATCCAGTTAATATTTCATTAAATACATATATCAAGACAGCACTGAAGTTTGTGTTTATAATATGCAGAACTGTGAGTGAACTAAAACACGAATCTCCCAAAGTGGGGGAATAAAATGATATAATGAAAATTAAAAATGAAAATCATTAGGCCAGAAATCTATGTGGTCATTTCCTGAAGTATCTTTGTACAGGTTAGAGTGGAAAAGTACCAGGTGAATCAGCAGTAAAAAGGTTTATCACCTGACCCAGGTACCTTCTCCTCCATCCATCTATCACACTGCAGTGCTTAATTCTTTTGGATTCTGTTTGTGTTCACCAGAGCTGAAGACTGCATCTCTTATCATGGAAGTGCTTAAAAGATCATCACTCCATGTGCTTTCTATGTCCTTTCTCTATTTTTGCACATTTACATTTCTAAGCTTCATCAGAGTAATAGATTAACATTCTTTATATAGTCTAGATTTGACACATTTGAAACTAAAATATATGATTGTTTGTACTGAATATCTGTATATTTTATAAGCAAATGTAATCCAAGTACTACTGGTAGAATATAACTAAAATATACATTGAAAAATTGCTGTAAATTTGCTGAAATACTACATATACCCTCAAGTATATGTGAGTTCATGTTATGTAATGAAAATCCTTGAGAATTTGAATAAGCATTTCAGTACATTTTAAACTTTGATATTTGAGAAATTAAATTGTTTTTAAACTGTACATTGAATGTTTCTTTGTAAAAAAAAAAAACCTCTAAATAGACACCGTAACTTATTTACTTGTATTCAAATGATTCTAATAAGTAGAGCACAACAGTTTTTGTACAAGGCTGCTTTAATTGATGATAAATAACTAGCACATTCCTGCATGTGCATATGTATGTGGGCACACACACACACACACACACACAGTGGGGCATTCACTGATTCTACCTTTCACTAGGGTCTACGTGGTATCAGAGATAAACACATGAACAACTTGGACTTCCTGTAACATCCATACTAACAAAGCAACCCTCTATTTGTCTTCAGAAAACAGAAAAAAAGAGAAAACAAACAAAAATCTTGAAAGCAGTAAGTAAAAGAATTCAGCCTAAAGAAGAAAAACCATTTGACTAATGTAGATTTCTCATCAGAAAGCAAGGAGGTTATCAGAAAGAGACAAATTTCTAAAGTAGCTGAAGATAAGAACTATCAATTCAGAGCTGTGTATATGACAAATATTTAAGGAGTGAAAAAATCAAAGGCTTTCTAATATAAAGGGAGGGAAAGTTCCACAAGCTCCTCCTTGTTCAGGTCAGCTGTTTCTGTGGGTTTCACCTGCCCAGTCTTGACTCCTTTGCTCATCTCTCCATCCTCTCTGCAACTGGTTTCCAGGAGTTGAGTTCAGTGTTTAGCTGTGGGTATCTGCTTCTGCTTCCATCAGCCACCGGATGAAGGCTCTAGGATGGCATATAAGGTAGTTATCAATCTCATTATTGGGGAAGGGCATTTAAGGTAGCTTCTCCACTATTGCTTAGAGGCCAGGTAGCCTCCTTGTAGATCTCTAGAAATCTCACTGGTGCTGGATCTCTCCTCAAACCTATAATGGCTCCCTCTATTATGGTATCTCTCATCCTGTTCCACTCTGTTCTTCCCATGACTCACTGACTCAGCTCACCCTGAAAGTGGCTGTCAGTGAGGAGGCCTTGGCAATCTATGGGACCTTGGGTTCAGTATTTATCCCTGGCATGAATGGACTTTGGGAACCCATTCCACATGGAGGGATGCTCTATTAGCCTGATATGACAGACTGGAGATCGCCCATAAAAGGCTTCACCCTCCCTGGAGAGTGTAGTGGGGATTGGGTGGGGGTTGGTGAAGGGCAGGGAAGGAGGAGAGGGAGAGGGAGCTGGAATTGACATGTGAAGCAAGCTTGTTTCTAATTTAAATAAAACTAAATAAATAAATTTTAAAAAGGGGGTGAAGGCTTTTAGTCCTATCCTAAAGAAAAACTTTTAGGGCTTCATTCTGGTGCTGTGATAAAATATTCCCACAAAAATAAACATAGAAAAGAAGTAAGTTTACTTGGATCATACTTCCAGGTCAAAGTTCATCACCAACAGAAATCAGTGCAGAAACTCAACCAGAATGTGAATCAAAAACCATGAAGAACTCTGCTTGGGGCTTGTTTACAGGTTTCTGTTTAACTGTCTTTCTGTTGGGTGCAGGAACACCTGTCTCTGGAAGGTGACACACACAGAATACTAGACTTTCCTGATTTAATTAGTGATCAAGACAGTTCCACACAGACTTGCTACAGGGTATTCTGGTCCATGCAACTCATCCATTTCTGCTTTCAGTTGACTCATCTAAGCTGTGTCAAATTGACAATGTCTGCTAACCTGGACAATAGCTATTCTTGACATTAGTAAGACATGGGGATCAAACATCTTTAGTCATTAGAAAGAAGAAAATAACAGCAGAAAGAAAAAAGAAACATGGGCAAATATACTGAATGTTATGGTTGATTTGTGAAGGTGCCCCTTATAGTACTTAGTGCATACAGAAAAGTTTAACGATAATGGTATAAGCTATAAAAATTAACACTTGAAAAAAGTTACTTTGTACTTTTCACAAATACGTATTCAATTACAGTTTCCTGGGTTGGATTTGTACTGAAAATGTAACCACTCGACAAAAGAAAGAGAAGGGAAGATGAATTTGTATGTATTATATTTTGTTTTGTTTTCTCCCTGATAATCTGGCTATTATCATTATTCTACCTCCTCTTCTTCAATGTTGCCTGAGTCATATGTACCAGAGTGCTTTGTAGATGGTACTGGGCTCAACAATTCTGCATTTTGATTGGTTTTTGGTTTTTAGTGATATACTGACTGATTTTTATCTGTTGCAAAGAGAAGATTCTTTGATGGAAGGAGAGAACTATACTTACATGTGGGAATAAGGAAAAATATTTATAGGTTGTTGTTAGGAATTACGCTGGATTAGTAAATTAGTGTTTGGACTATATTTAAATATATTTAGAAGAAATAGAGTGAATTTACAAGTTTTACATTAAAGGAAGACTGACAAGATTCTGTCTCAAAAGAAAAATACATGGAGATTCTCCATTAGGTAAACAATTGTAAGAACCTACAAGGTGATTTAACATTTTCAATCCATCAAGATCAGTGAAAAAAGAAATAACTATTATGTTCTCTTACTTATTTTATAAGGCCTTAGTCACCCACAAGTAATAAGTTCTATATTTGCACAAACAATTTACCTAAGAGAGTCTTCAATTTGAATTAGGCAATTCCAACAAAGTATCCAAATATTATCTCTATCCTACAAATTTTATACTAAATTAAGCCACATATATGTAACACGGAAGCAGAAGCAACAGCAACCAAATGGAGAAAATGATGGGAGAAGAAAAGTAAGGGTACAAAATGAAGGGAGTGGGAACCAGGGATGAATATGATCAACAACATAGTGTGACTAAACAAAGCTGGCTAGACAAAACCAACATAGCATGGAATAGGCCAATAAAAATCTCTAGAAGCCCATTACTGTAAGTCTCTCATAGTTGCCAACTTAGCTATAAAAGTAGAGTTGAAAAAATAAAGATGGGGGAACATAATATCCAATTTAAAATACTTCCTCAGCGACATAGTTTAAGATAGGCAAATTTTAAGTGCAATCTAAAATTTAATTCCTCTTTTATTATTGTTATTATACTGTTTAAATTGAGGGGTTGCTTTACCTAGATGGGGATTGTAGATAGGTCAGTACAATCCCTTCCAATGTTGCCAGTCCTGGGCCTTTCTGTGTCAGTGTTCTAGAGGCTGAACTGGCATATCATGAGTGTTACAGCACCACACCCAAGAGGTGACGCTCTGTTCTTTCACCCTATAAAAACCTTTAGATATTATTCTGGGCTCTTAATGGATGTTTATTGCTCTGGGCTTTAACCCCTTGTAGCCCTAGCTCTTTTTAGTTCTTACAGTCCCTAAACTTCAAGTAGCTATAAGTGGCAAGAACAGATAGCAACAAGTGATAGCAAGCAGCACCTGACAGTGTAGCACCTTTCATGCTAGGATCTCTGCCTAACATGAAAAGTGTCATGATACTTGGGCATAGGTGGTCTGAATCCCATAGTCTTTAGGCCTTATGAACTCCTTGGAAATCACCTGTGGCATTTTACAATTCTCTCTCTCAATCTCTTTTTTCTTCCTCATCTTTTTCTTTCCTTTCATACTGGTGAAGAAAAGCTTTGAATTATGGGTGAGGAATAATGCTGTGCCTGCTGTGCAGCCTGTGTCTGAGAATGTGTGGAGGGTGTTGGGATTGATGACACAGAGACCAGTCGGTGGCAAAAAGAAACACTCAAGAAGGCTTTTCAGAAGGCTCCTCAAGAAGGCTCTCTTTCATTCTTACCCTGACTGGTTATTATATGCCCTGACACCAGAGGCTGCAGTGGGTGGATCAGGAAGAGGTGGTTAGTCTTTGGAAAAGGTCAAGATCAGGGTGTTCCAGTGGGTGAGCCTGCCACTGTATTGTTTTTAGTAAACATTGTCTTACAGCTGCTTGCTCCCAGGCTGATGGGGAAGTGCGCATCCGGTCAAGGTCTGTTCTTTCCACAGAACAACACACAGCAAAATACAAAGAGGAAGACCCTCTTCAAAGCAGACGAGTTCCTCTGGAAGCCAGTTGAAGCTTGGTGTCTCCTCAAAGGATGGGAATTTTGAGGCCTTGAGGGGGTCTTCCTCACCCAGTTTAGGGCTCATTAGCTTGATTAAGCAGCGAGGCTGATAAAATCCCCAAGTCTGAGATAAACACATCCTGGTCTGGCTGTGACTATGTCAGATCAATTCAAATGGGCAGAGTGGTGCTAGTAGTTGGGAAAAAAACAACCACACACCATTGCTTTGAGCTGCAAAGATACTTTGCTCATGTCAGGAGGATGAGGATGACATTATCTGTCTTGGGGTTTTACTATCTGCATTATCTAATCATGGCCTGTCTGTTTTCCTCTCAATGAATCTGTCTAACTCCTAGTCTATCATTGCCTCCTAGAAGAGAAGCTCCCCAAAGCTGACAACTTTAATGCATCTAATGATGCAAGGGGATAATGTGAAAAGGACAGCACTTAGAGTGACTCAAAGGAGGGTCACTGTGAAAGGCCATGATGAAACTTAACAGATGCTAAAGATCCAGGTCATTTGATGGCTCAGTTCATCCTTGCAGCAGGCTTGGTGAAGGAGGCATACTCTATAACAAACAAAAAATGCAATTGTTTGCATTAGTACAATCCCTATTGAGAGTGTAGTAGGAGAAGTTTTATCCTTATTAGAGAAAGAGAACAGGCAAAGCCATCCAGAGAGCTCTTCACAGGCATTGATGTAATCAATAACAAGACTGGGGATTTCTTTGCCGTGTTGTATATTAGAACATGTACAACATGAAGAAAATAATAGGTTTGGCTCAAGATGCTATCTACTGTCCAGTGTTAAGTTCAGAAGTAGGCTATTCAGTCTCCTCTGTTATAAATCCGTGCGGGACATTAAGAGACAACTTCATATACAAAAAATTGCTAGATGTCATGATTAGTATAAGTCTTGATAAGTAAGGTGAAATATAATTGTGCATCTTTCCGGATAGTACCTTTGGAAGGATAAGGTCAGACATGGTCTTTTCTATATCTAGATTGTTAAGGATTTTTGAGGGGGTTTTGACCATTCAAAGTATTATCATGCAGTCAGCTGTTTGTTACATCAGACTCCTACATAAGAAGAGAATGCCTAGGAACTTTGTAAAAATAACAGTTAAGTATTTGGCTCAGTAGATCTTCCTTTCTAAGAATAAGTATCCATGACCATGTACCAGATATAATTTGCAATGACAATGTTCACTATGGGACAAATCCGAGTGAAAACGTGGTTAGTATTCTATTTTTTGATCACAACAAGATGTCAGCATCTAGCTGGCACTATAACAGAGAAATACAACCTTATCCATGCATTTTTTTAAAAAATTGCCTTGGATATTCCAAATAATTTCCCAAAAACTGTGAGCTTGAAAACAGCATTGGATAAACTCTGTTCTGTTAATCATGGAACATAGACTCATAGGATGCAAGAGGGCAAATTGCAATTGCGAGAAGCATTCTTTCAGTGATTATTTTGTAGTTGATTAAAAAATCTTTTGTTTTTATGGTTTAGCTTTGACATTTAAGATGATAGGACTGCTTTTCTCATTTGTGGTAGATATTACAATGTTGAGTTGAGCCAGTGTTTTGTCCTGTATCTGTGCAGCACTTTATTATTTTTATTTAATCATGAAGAGAATAATTAATGAGAATAGTTGTCCAAATAATGTCTTTGATGGCTAAGAACATTTTCTGAGATGTGCAGTTTCTTGGACTACTAAACAACATGGCCATCATTTCAATACTAGTTATTGTTAGGATTCAGGCATTGTGCTGGCATGCACCTGTCACTTGGCAAGATGCACTCAGGCAGTACCCTGGCCAATCTAGGATCCTATGGTTGCTGTGTCATTATATAGTCTGCACACAGATACAATGGTTTCACCAAGAGGCAAACTCCACCCACCCACCTCTCCTCTTTCTCTCTTTCAGCCATCTCTCTGAGGAGGGCAACAGATCTCTATCTCCCCATCTAATCTCTCTCTCTCTCTTTCTCTCTCTCTCTCTGCTTCTCTCTCTCCCTCTTTTCTCCCTCCCTTCCTCCACTCCCTTTCCTTCCCAATAAAACTTCCTTCCCATGGTTAAGTTCTGCCTGATGGCGAGGTTGTCTGCCACCATAGATCAACTGCAGTCCCACTTCAAGCCATATTCCTACCAGTTATACTTTCCTGTTGAATGTCAAAGACAATGAAGGTATCCAAAATGAGCCACTTTCTTTTGCATTCAAAGCCATTTGAGGATCTGGTGGTCTCAGGTCTCTTGGGTTTTCGAAGAACCCTTGGATCTGCTAGGTTTTCCTTTACTAGTCATTCTATTTGAGGTTAACTGCCTCCCTGGAAAAATGTTTCCCTTGAAAATGTGGAAGAAATTTTGCCTCTGTGTTGATCTGTTTTTATGTAGACTGTAAACTGGTTAAAAGACACCCAGTGACATCTTGGTGGCCTCCTGAAACAAGAGACCAGGTGACCCCACACAGTTACAATACATTTTGAGAGCTGCTTCCTAGTCTCCTGGGATGTAATTGACCTTAAGGCGCAAGGGCATACATTCTCCTTTTTAATAGCCCTGGTCCCATATGTGTAAGCCTCCAAGTGTGGTTACTTGACCAGAAAAACAGCACTACCTGTCTGGACAACTCACTGTAGGTTATAAGCAGGTCAGATGCTTTGGGTATAGCCAGTTATGGTACTTTTTGGAAAGGCTTCCTCATTTTCAGTGTAACCTGTGTTTCATGCAGTTTCTGGTCTTGCTGCTCTCTGGAGCACTTCACTGGCCTTCTCACCGATATTGGTTCTGTTGCCACTGCATACCAGGGCAAGTAATTGCTGCCACCTCACTGTTATTGCTGTCATTCCCATGTTACTGCCATCATTCTGCTTTTATGTTCTTGTTTCTATGCGAATAGCCCAGCCTACTCAACTGTCTTGGTTTTTATTCAGTTGCTATGAAGAGATGCCATGACCACTGCAACTCTTGTAAAGGAGAATATTTAGTTGGGGCTGTTTCAGAGACTTCCATTAACGTTATGGAACTTCCATAACGTGGTAGTTTGCAGGGAGACAATGATGCTGAAGAAGAAGCTGAGAGTTCTACATACTGATCAGCAGGCAGAAGGAAAAGAATGCATACTGGGCCTAGCTTTCTCATCTGAGATCTCAAAGACCAGCCCCAGTGACATACTTCCTCCAACAACACTACACCTACTCCAACAATGTCATACCTCCTAATAGTGCTACTCCCTATGTGTCAATGGTAGTCATTTCCTTTCAAACCACCACATAACTAATGATAAAGATTAAATATATGCAAACAATCATCTATAAATATGATGGCCAATGATTTTTTACCTTAGTACTTGAAGGTTGTGGGAAAGGTATTACCACTAGAAGAAGAGGCTTTATATGAAGAACTCAGGAAATTATCCAAGTGTCTTTGTATAACCAGTGTCTTCAGGCGAATGGAAGATGTGTCTGTAGGAATCATGGTATAATGCTTTATGTAAATGACGAAAAACAATTGAACCAGTATATTATCTTATATCAAATGTACTTGCCTTACTCATAGGTCTTATGTGCTCATTCTTTGACTGGGGCGGAAATGACCAGATCTGATACAAAAGCAAAGACTCTACAATTAGCAAGTCAACTGAATTAACTGGGGTCCTCCAGCCATCAGACACATCAGATGGAGAGGAGGAACCCTGAGCAGCAATGGGACAGGGCATATATTGAGGTAGAGCAAGGGGAGTATCTGGGGGTCCACTAGTTACATAGCAACAGTCTCAGATTGGTGCACCTCCAGGCTTAGGCAACCTGTCCTGAGTTGATTGGTGAGCTACAACTGTGGAAAGGTTGCTATGCCTAGAGGCCATCCCAGGGTATTTGATACACTCTGCATTCCAGTATTATCAGTAAAGCACATCCAGAGCCCGCCAGCTAACTTCTGTTTCTTGGCATATGGAGGGTACCTGACTGCCTAGTGATTAGGGCAAGGTCAAGTAAGATGGGGGGGCCTGAACATGTTGCTTAGTCAAAGGCCTGTATCTTGCTGGGTCTTTTCTGCAGACTGTAATGGCTATTAAAGCAGAGAGCTGGGTGAGAGTCTCAGCCTTTCAGTGATGTCAAATATGTTGAGCACAGGCTATTATTGGAAACAATACAGCAAGCAACTGTTGTTGTCATGCAGAATACTCAAATTGTCAGAAGATTATACAAAGCAGCTGGCACCAGCAGGATAGCAGTCTTATTTGTTGTTTGAATTACTGCCCTTTGCTCAAGACAGCCAGGGACCTGGAGAAGCTTCAACTGCTTTGAATTAAGGAGCCCAATATCCTTGACATGCCCCTATATTTGAAGGAAAATTCAACATTGAAAGAAATACTTATGAGAAAGGCTCATTATTAACATTTGCAGCCATTTAGTTGTATTCAATAGTCTTCAGACAAGCCCCAATTGATGTTCTAATGGCCCAGAGTTTGTAGAGTTTCTTAGTTTCTCTCAAATGCATTTTAAGAACATAATTAAGAACCATTATGCCTTGCCCACTCGTGCAGCCTGTATCCGAGAATGTGCAGAGGGTGTCAGGATTGATGACACAGAGACCAGTCGGTGAGTGCAAAGAAAACTTTAAGGTTCAAGAAAGGCTTCCCAAGAAAGGGTTCCCTCAAGAAAAGCTTCCCCCCTTTCTTACCTCTGACTGGTTATATGCCCTGACACCAAAGGTGGCAGCAGGGCGTCAGGAAGAGGCAGTTAGTCATTGGAAAAGGTCGAGGTCAGGGCATTCCCGTGGGCTAGCCCTTATCACGAACCTATTGCTCCAGGCACCATATTGTTTTTAGTAAACATGTTTTTAGTAAAGATTGTCTTATAGCTGCCTGCTCACAGACTGATGGGGAGTGGGCCTCCAGCCAAGGTCTGTTGTTCCCATACCATTATTTTAAAATCAGGTCCTGAAAATGGCAGTGTTGATAACAATGTCTTAAACAGCAGGTCTCTGTCCAGGTAAACCAAAAGGTGGTTATTTGTAATCAGAAGTCTAAATTCAGCGTTCCTTAGTAATCTTGTAAGACCGGTTTCTGTCTACCAGAAAAATTACAACTTCCCTTACCCATCCTAATACTCAACTACTCAAGGCAAGGACTTCAGTTTCCCAATTAATCGTAACAACCTGCATCAGTGTAAGTTCCTTTCTGGGTCCTCTTGTGTCTCTTTTGTGCCTAGATTCATCTCATCTTCTTCTATCTCTCTGTCTACCTATTGGCCACTCAGCTCTTTATTAAACCAATCAGAAAGCACCTTGGCAAACACATCTTCATAGTGTGAAAAAAGAATAATCCACAGTACAAATCCTCTGTCATGCATCAGGCTGTTACCCTTGCCCCTGACAAGGAGAAAGAGATCAGCAGGGACACCCAGAAAAAGCCACTCTGCACATGAAAACCCTTAAAAATCCTTAAGATTTAAACTATTTCTAAAAGGTTGGTTACTGATGTTCATTTCATGTTACTTAAAGTTTTAATAAGAAGAAACATAGGTGTAAGTTTAAAATGGCTAAACATAATCAACTGTTTAGCTTTTTCAATTACCCTCCCCCATTTTTATTTTGCTTACTAAAATATTCTCTCATTCAACGTCATGGACATATTTAAATACTTAACACATATTCCTTAAAACAAAACACATATTCTTGTTGTGATAGATGATTTCTCAGAATGATTAGAAACTCTTGCTACTCTGGATAAGACTGTAGAAGTAGTCTGTTCCTACCTCATTAATGATATTTTGCCTAGATTTGAATGCTCTAGATCCATAAGATTGGATCATAACTCAGTATTCATCTCCAGAGCTACTTAATCACAAGGGTCTTAGGAGTACAATGGCAACTTCACATTCCACACTGCCTCCAAGTCTTGGGAAAGATAGAAAGAGATAAGTGACTTACTATGACTCACTTATTAAAACTGTCTTTGGAACTTCTCTTTCCTTGAAATGAACAACTATCCATTAGTCCTGATTCATTTTTGATACAAGATTGATCCCACTTTACCACCAGTTTATATTAATATTTCAAATTTGGGAATATACACTGTTACTTCTGGAATTTATCCTATACATCTAGGGAGACCTCTGGTACAGCTCCTCACGTACTCATAAGAAAAGACCCTCATAGAAAGTACGTGACTCGGGACCACTCTGCTACCTGCCAAATTCCAGAAACAGACCTGTGGCTTATCTAGGGCATAGGCTTAATAGAACATGGATTGTGAAAGATAAAGTTAGAGTCTGCAGTTAGGTTACCAGGGCACACAGGATGACCTACCCATCCCACTGACCTTCTGCTCCGCCAGGTTCATCACAGCTACAACACATCCCCCATTCCTTCCCCTCCTCCATTCCTCTATATAAATCCCTTTGGGATGAATAAAGTTTTCACCTTGATCAGACTCTTGTCTTGGTGTCCGTCCTTGTATCCCCTGGCCCCCATCTTTTTCCTAGGTGTCCACCAGACCCACGATGAGTGTCCTGCGGGTCAGGACAGGAAGACTAGGTCCCAGACAGTTTCTGTCTCAGGAAACATTGATCTAGCTAAAGGCATCATCCAGGAACCAACCTTTGACCTAGAGCAACTCCAAAACCAGCTTACCTCATATTCCTTGGTGGTAACACATGTGATAGGGCCCTTAGCTTACTGACTACTGAAAAGAAGGATCTTACCTCTTTTCCAGCGACCAGTCTGGCCAAGTAAAAGAAATTAGATACGTATATGAACTATCTCAGAGTTGGCTCCAATGTGGAGTTCTAGTAATAGTTCTTTGTGGGACCCTGGCTTCTAGCCCACCCCAGCCCACTCTTCTAAATCCTTCTCAAAATAATGATTGTTCCCTATCTCTTCTAGGAGAGAATTAGTGAAATAACCTGGCAATCAGTAAACTAGTTGCTTCTCATGGAATTTCTCCCGTTTCCTTCTATTGCCTGCCAGTACTGAACCCTTGCTTTGGACCAGTATTCCAGATGCCTAAGGACGAATATTCCCTCTTATCGTCAATGAAAGACTGGAATGTGAGGTCTAATGAAGACGCCCAAAATGCCAGTGCTGATAACAGTGTCCTAAACAGAAGGAACCTGAGCATGTAAACAGAAGGGTTGTTATTAGGTGAAGAGAAGCATGGATTAAACATTTCTCAGGAATCTTGTAAGGCTGATTTCCATTTACATGGAGAAGGTCTACCTCCTTTATCTGCCACAAAGGTCATTGACCTAGGACAAAGGCATTTATTTTTTGACCAATCTGAATAGCTGTACCAAGTTGAAGGCCCCCACTCCTTTGCTGAATATCATGTAAATCAGTTGCTGACTTGCAGAACTGCTGAATTCTATTCTTGAAGGCAGAGGAGTAGTTTATATTCCCAATAAGTATTACTTCTGCCCATGGAGTGGTCCAATCTGCTGGTTTCAGCGCACCATACCCAGTGAAGCTATAATGTGTTAAAAACAATCGAAAGTGTATCTGTTTAATTTATCTCTGTAACAGAGAAATATTTATATTCCTATATTATTGCATGAACATCTAGGAACTATACGTCTAATAGACACTGAAAGGTTCAGGCATTATGCTGGCCTGCCCCTGTTACCTGGCAGAATGCACTCAGGCAGTACTCTGGTAAGCCCTGGGTTCCATGAGTACTAGTCTACAAGCAGCACCATGCTGACATCCGCCCCCTGACAATGGGCAGGACACCCATAGTGACATGGTCATGTTGTGGCTATGTCATTCATTATAGGACTGCTTAAGGACTCAGTACAAATGTGTAAGATTCACATTTCTTTTTTCAGATTTTTTTTAAAAAATTCCTTTTTTATTTAAATTAGAAACAAGCTTCTTTTACTTGTCAATCCCAGTTTCCTCTCTATTCCTTCCTCCCCTGCCCCCCTCAAACCCAGTATCCCAGCCCCTATCTGTTCCACAGGGAGGGTAAGGACTTCTATTGGGGGATCTTCAATGTCTGTCATATCATTTGGAGCAGGGCCTAGACCCTTCCCCATGTGTCTAGGCTCAGAGAGTATCCCTATATGTGGAATGGGCTCTCACAACCCATTTGTGAGATAAATACTGATCCACTACTAGAGACCCCATAGATTAACCAGACTTCCAAACTGATATTCTCATTTAGGGAGGGAAGAGGAGGACAGGAGAGAACAGGAAGATCGAGTCAGGGGAAGAATAGAGGAGAGCAAGAAAAGAAATACCATGATAGAGGAGTCATTATAGGTTTAAAGAGAAATCTGACACTAGGGAAATGTCCAGAAATCTACAAGCTTGACCCCCAACTAAGAATGTAAGCAATAGGAGAGAGGCAGAGAGGCTACCTTAAATGCCCTTCTCCAATGATGAGATTGATGACTACCTTATATGCCATACTAGAGCCTTCATCCAGTAGGTGATGGAAGTAGAAGTAAACACTCACAGCTAAACACTGAACTGAACTATGGAATCCAGTTACAGAGAGGGAGAAGTGATAAGCAAAGGGGTTGCGGCCAGAGTGGAGAAACCCACAAAAAGCTCCTTTTAAGTGAATACCTCCACGTGGTCCCACCCCATTTTCACTCTCTCCTCCATTCTCTCTCTTACCCTCTCTCTAATGCTGCAACGATAAACGGCACACTTACTGAAGGTAAAAATAAGTATTTATTGTAGAAATTACTCACAAGAGACCAAACAAGTAACCCAGATGAGCCGAGTAGTTTTCCACCGCTGAACTGGAAGCCGGAAAGCCAGAAAAAGAGAGAGAGAGACTTCCGTTGTTTTATACATTCCTCCGTAACATCCCTAGCCATGCCCCAAAGTGGGTCTGGCTAGTGATGTAGTTCACCGCCTACGACCGTATATGTTTTTAGTCATGCCTAAAGTGGGTGTGGTTAGCGGTGTGATAAACCGCTCTTTTATTACCTCATCTGTATGTGGCTCTAATAAGTCACATGGCTAATCGCGGAGTTCTGTTTTCCTCCTTTCTCTCTCTCTCTCTCTCTCTCTCTCTCTCTCTCTCTCTCTCTCTCTCTCTCTCTCTCTCTCTGTTTCTCTCCCTCTGGCTCATTTGCCTGCTCTCCCCCTCCCACCCTGTAATAAACTCTATGGTTAATGTAATCTCCTGATCCATGTTCCATCTCTCTGCAGAAGTCTTAAACAAACAAACAAAAGACACTATTTTACTTTAGAGAATGTTCAATAGATAATATTTTAAATAATTTCAATACATTTTCTACCCCATCAAAAGTTAAAAAATAGAAAATTTTCTTTTTTTTCTTCTGAAAATTTTCTTTTTTAGTATCTGTAGTTTATTCAAAATGGCAAAGAAATATGTTTTCATGTATATTTTAGTTTCTAGAGAGACATTGTTAATAAAATATTTATGTATCTGTGTGTTCAAATATAGAATATTTGAAATGCTATCTTTAATATTACTTCTGAAAAACAAAGTTTCCAGATGGTGTGTACATGACTATTCAGTATAGATTATGCATATTTATGATAGATTATCATACTATGAATCTTTTTATGTTTACAAAAATGAAATGAAAATATTTCTTTTGAGATGCAGGCAATTTTTGTGAGTTCAAAGGAAGCCTGATCTACCAAGCAACTTCCAGGACAGCCAGGGTTCCACAGAGAAATCATTTCTCAAAAAAAAAAAAAAAAAACAAAACCAGAAAATGTATCTTTTATATAATGCTTGATCAGGTTTCTGTAAAGAGATTTCAAACACTGCCTGACTTGAAATATGATAACATTTGCATGTCCTCACCCAGACAAGGGTTATGAATCTTGATTTCTCAAGGGTGTCAAATAACTGAAATTAAGTCATTTCAAGTATGTCACTAGAGCAAAGAAGCCATAATGTCAGAACATAGAGAAGATAACTTCATGGTCAAATGTTAGGGACTGGGTCATGTGTATGTTTTGTAAATGAGAATTTTCTAATTGTGCCTTATACAGTTTTATGCCCATAGTTCTCAAAACCTTTAAAAAGTAAATACATATCTTTATTTTATGTGTATGGATATTTTGTCTGTGTGTATGTCTGTGCCCTGTGTGTTCCCAGTGCCTGCAGAAAGGAATGCAGGTCATTTTTATCCCCTGGAATTAGAGACAGTTTTGAGCTTTAATAGAGGTACTGATCCATTTATCCAGCCTCCAAACTGTGAAATTTAATATTTTTTCAGACATTGGGAATATTACTGTTGTTGAAAGCAAGGTCTCAATTTATAGCCTTGACAGCACTACAATTTCCTATATAGAGCATGATGACTTGAATTCAGTGAGGTCTACCTGCCTCTGCTTTCCAAGTTGTGGAATTAATGGCATGTACTGCCATATTGGAATTTGTTGTCAAAACATAAACGCTTATATGTATTTCCATAATTTTTATTGCTATTAACTCATAATTAAAATTATAACTTATACTGATATAAATATGTAATAACTAATGTCACTTCAGAATATTACTAATTCTTAAATAATATCTACTATGGGCTTAATGCTGATTTTTTTACATCATATACATTCTGTTTTAAATTTTTCATTGTGTTCATTAAAGTACTTTGTTACCTAAAGATATATTCATGAAAGTATATGTTATACATTTATTTTATTGTCTTCCTCTATACTTCTTATTTTCCTTTTCTGCCCTCTAATCATATATGCTTATATACAATCATATATACATTCATGGTTGTACATATTTATATAAAAATCTGGGAACCACAAACATATGAAAATACAAAAGAAATTTCATATGACACTGGCTATATTCACTTAATTTTGTGCTAATTTTCTTGAAAATAATATATACAATATTTAATTTTAGATATTATGGGGCACGACTTCTAAGGTTGTGTAAAAAGTAGCTAACCTATGCATCGCTGTGCCCAAAGTCTGCACCTCCAAATCCATGAAGAGACCAGATCTGATGCAGAAGCAAAGACTCTTTTTAATTATGAGTTAACTTGGGTCCTCCATCTGTCTGTCCAATACATTAGATAGAGTAGGAGGGACCCTGAACAGCAGTCAGGCAGGGCATATATTAAGGGTAGAGCAAGGGTGCAGTGTCTGGAATTCTGCTAGTTGCATAATAACACTATCTAGCACATCTCAGGATGGGGGAACCTGTCCTGAGTTGATTGATAAGCTGTAGCTGCAGAAAGGATGCTGTGCCTAGAGCATCCAAGATCCAGTTGCTATCTACTGCATTCATCTGTAATCAGTAAAGCACATCCAAAGACTGCCAGCTAACTCCTGATTGGTTCCTTACCATATGGAGGGCATCTGGCAATTTCTTCCCAGGAATATGGCAAGGTTTGACAAGTTCTAGGGTGGGGAGGAGGGGAGGACTCAACACATCCTGCTGAATCAGGGACCTATATTATGCTAAGTCTTTTCTGCATCCTGTCATGACTTCCACATCAGGGGCTGGGTGAGGGTCTGAGCCCTTCATGTATGTAATTTACAAATTATGTGTCTAACTTTACCATTATTATTAAATTTGAGTTTATTCCTTGAATAAATTAATCTAAACCGTGAAAATAGACAATAGATGGATAGATGATACATAGATGATACATAGATAGATAAATGATAGATGGATGGATGGATGGACAGACAGACAGATAGATAGATGATTGATTGATTGGTTGATAACTTACTTTTTAGAAGATACTTTCTATCTTTCACTTTCATAATAACTCACTTTTGCTAGAGAACATTATTTTCATCTGGGGAATATGTTGATTCAAAAAATGTTAGACAGCTGAGAAAATTATAAAATTAAACTTACATAAAAATTATGTCAGAGAATTAAACACGGGGAGAAAACAGAAGGCAGAAAAATGGGAGATGTATTGTCAAAAGATGTATAAACTTCAGTTAGTAAAGGTCCAAAAAAAACCAACTCTTAAAAAATAAAATTACAAAATCTGACTGAATTTAGAAAAGACTTATCAATTTATTTAAAATGACTACTTAATTTTGATGAAAATCGAATGAAGTAAAACAAATTATAAACTTAAACAAACAAAGGAACAATTAAAATGGGCAACATAAATTATGGAGAATTATAAGCACATTAAAAGAAAAAACACGATTAAAAGTTGTAAACAAACAGAAAGCCTAAAGGCATCAAACAATAACTGAAAAATCCAACATGTACCACAGTAAATATAAGAGTAATAGAACAAGGAGAAGCACTGTGTAGACACAGAATATGATATAAGAGCTGCACTCCTTCAAGGAAGGGGAAACAGATTCCAGAAATCATTGAAAGAAATAACGTTAACTGACTAAGAGTTTGAGATTTAGTGATAGGAAAGACTGCGAGACAACATCTGAGTCACATTAACAATAACACTTTTGAAATCAATTAGGAAAATTTGAAATGGGGAGCTCATGCTTCACCACAGAACCTGGCACGGCATTTGGGGCCAATTTGTCACTCTTGGTTATTAGGTCCACAGTGAGCAGCAAAAGTCGTAGTTCTTCTGACAATGTCCTAAGCAGAAGGACTCTTGGTACACATTGGACTGTTACTGGGTTAACAGAAACCTAAATTCAACATTTCTCAGGCATCTCATTAGGAGTGCTTATGTTTTGTTGTCGTTGTTATTCTGCACTTTCTTTTATTTTTATTTCCTTCTATTGATTAATTTTCCCTTATAATATATCCAGATTATAGTTTGTCTCTCTTCCCTCTATTCATCCTAGTCCCTCCTCATCTCCCCTCCTATCTGCTTATACCCAATTTGTGTGTACCATTAGGAAACAAACCGGATTCTGAAAGGCAATAATAAAAATAAAACATAAGATAACACAAAAACAAACACACCAGTATAGTACAAAACATACAGTCAGAAAAGAGAAACCAAGAAAAGGCCCAAAAACTGATTAGTGTTCAGAGAACCACTTTTTTCCTATTCAAAAATCCCATAAAAACACAAAACTGGAAGACATAATAAAACCTGTGTGTGTTACATATTATATATGTGTGTGTGTGTGTGTGTGTAAAAGAAAAACTAGAAAAAAAAACCTGACATGGCATTATTATGAGACAATAAACCTCCAAAGATGTCATTGAAGTTTTTTTTTCTAACAACTCTCTAGTGTTGGGCATCAGGCCATCTCTTCAGAGCAGTTTGTTTCTCCAGTAAGACTCAGTTACAGAAAATAAATTTTTATTTACAAGTGGTTATCAATTAGAATGAGCTTTTAGGTTTTGCCAATGTAATTATGAATATCTGGTGAAGGTAGAATGGATTATAAAAGCAAGTAAAATATAGACAATAGATGGACTAGGTCCTGTCTGTTCAGAGAAAGGTATGGGGAAATTTACTCCTTGAGTGGACTGCTAAACCAAACTTCTGGTATCATATCATAGCATATTTATTATTATCCATTTTGATGCTACTTTTCCTGATTCCATAAAATTACAATGGGTTTTAGGGAAAGTGAATAACAGCTATAAAAACATGTGCAATAAAGTTTCAGAGGAAAACACAAAAGTAAAAGGGCCGTAAGAAGTGGTAACAATACTGTTAACGCTTGTCACAGGGCAATTCTGCACTGAGTACAGAAGAAATCACAGAACATAAGCAGTTTAAAGTTTCTGGCTCATGAAAATCTAGTGCTGAAGATGAAAGGAGGAGAATGAGGTTCTTGTGTAACCTTCAGTGTCTGATCTGCCTTAGAATTTCAAGAAGAGAGGGCAGAAAATGTTGGGGAAACATGATACGGAAAACTGTAAGCACATGAAGGAGCTTTCTGTTCAGCCACTGAAGAACTCAACAAAACACAAGTGTAT